ATGTTCCTTTATAATCAGTGAAGCTCTCTGAACTGCAAATAATATCTTATTTACGTGTCTACGTGTGGCGTTTAGCACTGAGTGAATTCTGACTGTCACAATGCGTGCGTGAGAGGTGGCAGCCCAATCTATTTATATCTTTATAATTATCTTAATATATTATTATATCCTATAATAACCATTTACACGCACGAGCATTATCACATGAGCTTCACTCCTCCCGACCGCAGACACAGGTTTACAAGCCACATTTTCCTGCGTTTTTCAATCAATTTCTTGAATTTTCCCCACTTATGAACAACACATTTTCGTACACGATAAAAGCTCCTTGTGGTTTCTCGGTTTGGCCAATTTAAGCATCCATAAACAATGCAAAACACTGGCATTTTGAGTTTCTGCTAGTGATTCCTATGGAGAAAAATCACTTCCTGCCCTCCAGGGGCATTTCGTGCGTCATCAGTGACGTCATGTGCAAACAACCTATTGAAAGCGGAGACTTCAAGTCGGACACTTTCTGCTAGAGGCAAATCTACTGTATTTATACCTCTTGGTGTTGATTAACTTGAGTGCGCTCCTCTTGTGTTAATTAGGCTAAGTATCTGACGTGCTCCTGCTGCACTTTGTTAATAAAACATCATTTAAAAATGAAAATTCTGTAATTATTTATTCCCCCTTATGTTTTTAAACCAAATAGAATGTTCAATTTTTAATTTTTAAAATAGTGAATGGCAGTCATTAAAGGAGATAGCTATATATTGGTTTGGATTTTTATATTGTATATGTGATTTAAAAAAAACAAAACAAAAGGATTTAAAGACCATTTGAAGAATGTCTAGAAATTGAAGCAAGCAATGCAAAAGTAAGAGATCTTGTTTTACCTGGAAAGTACAATGGCAGTGTGTGAGGGTAGGATGCGGCCACAGAGGTGCTCTAGCTGGCGGTGTTCAGAGGCAGGTATAGGGGCAAGCAGGCTTGGGTATGCTGGGGGGTGACGGTATCCCAGAATGCCATGGGAAATGCAGTACTGGAACTCCTCCTCTTGAACCTGAAGTACTCTTTGCTCCAGCTGCCAAAGCATCTCACGTAGCAACATCCGACCTGGGCCTCCACATCCATTTGTGTGGGGCCAACCTATGAAAGGCATGGCTGGACTGCAGTGTAGGGGGCAATAAGAAAGCGTGTTGGTTTAACAAGTGGATAAAACACTGTATACTGAAGTGAATTTCTTCTTTACTATCATCCTTTGTAAATTAACTGTAACTGTTCATAAAGAGCTTGATCTTCAGTAGACAGTCTTTCACACTGTATCACATCAAGCTGTGTAGTCCATCCTGAACTGGCAGTTAAGTTAATTCAGCAACGTACACTTCCCCCTATTCAAGCTAATGCTAGCATCTGCAGGACAGTTTTATTTTATTTTTATTTGTCAACCAACACAGCTTTGAATATGATGGGTAATTATGCAAGTAAGCAGTGACAAACAATCATGTTGAGAAAGCCTCAGAGAGCACTTCTGTTTGAAAAGCCATGCTAAAAACAAGCCATCCTATTTGACGGTCAGGTTTTGATGTGATGTGAAGTGCATAAAATGCACTTCACATCAATTTAGCATATTATTACAAAGCACTTGACATTGCAGGCAAATTTCAAACCATGCCATGCTGAAAATAAAAAAATAAAAAAATTAAGCTGCTGGTTGTGTTTTGGAAAATGGTTTCAAGCTGGTAAGGCTAGAAAAAAGTAGGTTAGCCGACTGACCAGTCATCTTGTTCCAAAAACAAGCTTAACCAAGCTGGTTTGACCAACTGTAGATGGTTTGTTGGTGGTCCAAGATGGTCTGCCTAATGACCAGCTAATCACCATCTCGGCCAACAACCAGCTTTAACCAGTTAAAATGTTTCAAAACATTAGACCCAAATTAAACAAGAAAAGTTCAAATGGACAGAGATAGATAGAAATGGTGCTTTGAAAAAGACTTAAGATTGAATGGAGAGGTACAGAAGAGAACAAAAATCCAGGCAAACTGAAAATAGAAACAGGAGGAGACAGAAAGGTGAAGGATGGTGCAGAATTTAAAGGAAATTATTCACCACAATGGATATGGGTAAAATCTGGCAACAGAGGTGAATACAATAAAAATACAAAAAAGGACACTTTTACCTTGTGGGTCTTACAGGTCGAGGTCCATGATGCTTTGACTCCATCTGGTACCGCCAAATTGCATTAGGTTATGCAAATAAAATATGTAAATGAAGCCAGACTGTCAGATATAGAATGAAAGGGTACAGATAAAGCAACCTAAAGAAATGACTATTCTGATAGAAGATAGTAAGAGAAACTAAGTGTTTGAACAAGAAGAATGACAATCAAGCTGAATCAGAGGAAAAGAAAAGAAAGAAAGAAGAGAGTGTTTGCCAGTGACACGCAGCAATGTGCGGATGACTGCGATGGGCAAAGTTGAGATGAAGAATGTGAAATTCTCCCCTGTCCACCGCAAACTGCCTTCTGTCTCTCTGCTCTGATAACCCAGCCCACTCTGACTCGCATGCCCTCAAACATGCATTAACACACAAACACACACTGACCATTTCAGCTCATATAACAGAAATAACACTCAACACAAACACGGACAGATATGGTTTGAAGTATGCATCCTGCTTTCCATCTTTCAATACTCTGTCAGCTTGAATTTCATGCCTCAAAACCTGCCTATGGTAAATCAGTCTGGGGTTCTTGTTTTCCACAGTTAAATGCTTAATGCAGTGTGGCAGTCGGAGTAAAATTATCTGAAAAAATGCACCCTGTGTCAGCATGTAATATGACCCAGTGCCAAGGGGAATTATGTCAGAATACAAGGGAACAAATATGAGAGTTCCTGGTCTGCTCAACAATGTGACACACAGATGAATAAGCTTGTATTCTTGGGTGGAAGATAACGATTCTCACATCATGGATTTATTGAATTAATACAAATATGTATTCAGTCTGAGAAGGTAATTGTAAAAGAAATCACTGTTTATGGTCTTAGAGATCCTTTGTATCTACTAAAAACAAAGTTGTGTGTGTGTCTTGCACTTCACATTTGACTGGAATAGCCTACATGATTGTATATGATTTCTTTGCAACAATTTATCCAGCACCATGAAAATCTTAAGACAAATTAAATATACATATTAACCAGCACTCTATTAACTATATTTGGTACAACCATGGTATGTTCATGTTTATGTGGATGAAAAGTGATTGTGCTCATAAGCGTTCGTCACAGATTGCAGTTGGTGTCCATATGGACGCCTCTAGGAAGGCTGCAGGCTGGATGGTCTTCTGAGATTCATAATCTCAGCCTCGCACCTGGTTCTGGTTCTCGGTCAGGTCAGGGTAAAGCACCAGACTGCTGGCCATGCCACCTGCCCTATGAACATGCCATAATCCAAAAACACATCTAGATTACATATGTAATACTAAAGTAGTGCAAACTGAAAAATAGAAAACAAAAAACCATAAGCAACATTGTTGGCAGCATGTATAAGCACAGCCATTCTAACTTTTGCATATTTAAATAGAATATCAAAAGTGCTTTGAAAATGCATATGAGAAATTATTCCAGTGTTTTCCAGTATAAAATAATATATTAAGGATGTAACAATGCACCCCGAGCCGGTTGAAAATTGATACAAATGACAATTGAAATCGGTGGAGATTTTAAACGAATTGCGATACAACTGGGGGTAAGGGTTCATATGAATATATCTCTGAAGGGAATTGAAGGTCTTAGTTTAGATAGCATTTTCTTTTAATCTTGTCCCTGTATAATGCATATTAATGTGGAGTTCATAAGCGCTGCTTTCTTTACAGCAGCAACTAAGGAAAAAGTGCATTTGTGTTCTCATTCAGCCGGTCTGCTGTTTTTGTTTCATGCAGATGCTTTATGTAGTATAGTTTCACAAAACTAAAGTCAGAATTTTTTTTTAATGGTTAAAATTTTGAAAAATCTAATTTAGATTAAAAGCTGTACATGCTGCATGTATGCAGCATATTTGTTTGGATCGTGATTAAAATACAGTGGTTGCCTCTAATCTAATCTCTCCAAGGGCTTAGTTTGTTGAGATTTCTTTTATTTATTTGATTTGGGGCTTGTTTTGAAATTTAAATTTTAGTTTTGTTATTTGAAAATTCAATTTCACAAAGAAATGTGCAGCATTTTGTCCAAGCACCAATAAAAAGACACCTTTTCATTTATAATTTGTCTTAAATCTCGTTTTGTTAAAAAACAAAACACACAATTGTGAAAAAAATCAGTATTGTGGATTCTATCATTGAATGAATGAACAAACGAACGAAATTTAAATATATATGTATTTTAAATTGATTAATAACTATATATGTCACATTTACTGTGTCGATGAACACGCACAAAGATGAAGATGAAGATAAACAGTCCTTAATAAATCCACAGATGGGTAATTCCAAGCAAGGGTATGGCTACTGACACACATAACATTAGCATTTAAGACCCAACCAACTCAAACTGAACAGACAGGAACTTAAATACACAGACCTTAATGACCATTACTGTGTCATGTTATATTATTTTCAAGGAGTGTAGGACTCACAGTCTTTCTTCAGTTCACTTTGTTCCTCAGTCTAGCAACAAAACACTTGGGCAGAGTCTTGGAATAGCTGGGAACTTGCTGTACAGGAACTTTCAAACATAAAACTAATTCCTTGGTAATATTATTAGAAAATACGGGATTAGTTTTCACCGTTATGCTGATGATACTCAACTATATATCTCAACAAGACCAGATTAAATTTCTAAATTATCTAAGCTAACAGAGTGTGAATTGAATTGAATTCCAGACATATTTGCGGCACTTTTTTAACAATTCCCATCTTTAATTGTGAGCTGTGTATCTTCCTTTTGTATAAAGGGAGAACGAAATTCGCTGGAAATGGCACAGGACCTTTCACTGCCCTCTCTAAAAACCCTCTGTACCCAGAGGAGATTAATGTAGAATGTAGCAGCCCTGTCACACATACCCACACAGAACGAGGCTAATTGTGAGTGTCAGTCTGTGTTTTGAGGTGGGTGATGTCATTGCCACTGGCAGGGCGCCTGTTCAGGGACAGTGATGATTTGGGACGTGGCTGGTGTGCACACATCAATACACCGGAGGGCAGTGTTCATGCTTACATAAAGTGGGGCTTTATATTCTTTTTTATATTTTATGAAATTTTCTTTACTTCATAATTTGCAAGCATTATTGCAGCAAAAACACCTCAAACATGCATCTATAAACCACAATATAACATAAATATTAATTATAACAATTTAACGTGTGAACGATAGTTAATTGTTTGACACTGAAGACTGGAGTAATGACTATTGAAAATTCAGCTTTGCCTCACAGGAGTAAATTACATTTTAAAATCTATTCAAATGGAAAACAGCTATTGAAATCGTTGTACAACATTACTGTTTTTACAATCAAATAAATGCAGCCTCTGTGAGCATAAGAGAATTCCTTCTAAGCCATTCAAATCTTACTGACGCCAAACCTTTGAATGGTAGTGTAGGCTACTCGTTGCTCTTTTGTACATCAACCGTCTTGCTAAAAGGCAGGAAGTCTCTTCTTTCATCGCAATTTAATCAGTTTAGACAGTGATGAGTTTTGTTTAAGCTGTCATCCACCAAACACAAGCTGGATCTGATCGCTGACTCCACTCTCTGTATCACGATAACTGTATCATCAAAACTTCTTTCTGTCACCGCCGTAATAGTGTCACTCTGCCCTGCATCTGTCTCTCTCTCAGCATCAGTGATGCCGCAACTCATTAGATCACGCTTAGATGCTGTAACTGAGTCATTCCTCTTATGCAGTACCTTTTGAACTCAATGACATAAAAAATATGCTGCACTCTAAGGGAAAAAAAAGTACAAAAGCCGTCACTGCGGTCGTACCTTTTCAAAAGGTACACCTGTGTACCTCAAGGGTACATACTGGCACCTTAAAGGTACATATTAGTACTGAAAGTGTACATATTAGTACCTTTGAAAGGTACCGCCCCAGTGACAGCTTTTGTGCCTTTATTTCTGACAGTGTGTGGTCAGACACTTAAAATGGAATAATTATAGCTTGACTTTCACAAACTGCTTATCGTGGGGTTGAGAAAAAAAGGGTGTCTTGCAAGTTTACATTATTTTATCAAACAGACTGATTGTTTTACAGTGAGACAATACCAATTAATGCCACAAAATATCACAGAATGAATTAAATCCATTGCTAATGCAGGATTGAAGGATGAAATTATGAAAGACCTGGCTTTTGTTAGTTGATTAGGATATTAGGTAAAAGTTGGATGGATATCGAAAACATGAAATTATGTCTTATTGAAACATTTAGATCAGAGAAAGGACACATTATATAATATTTTTCAGTGAACTATAATTTCTTCTTTCTCGATAACAGGAATCTAAACTCACTTCTACTGGTCTTCTAAAGTGCTTTAGATGTTACAAGATGTTTAGAGCTCTGCATTTCTGCAAGGCATAAGATTAAAAAAAGTTAGTAAAGGTTAGTACTGTGCTTCACCAGCTCCACTGGCTCCTAATCATCACACATACTACAAATTCTAGTTACTATTTTAAAAGCCAGACATATGAAATAATAGTCAGAAAAAAATGGAATCTTTAAATAAAATGTTTTACAAAGTAGAATTTTTGAATATCATATTTGATAAATCAGTCTTTTATGGCCCATATAGTATGATATAGTGAGAATATGGAGCTCACAGAGAAGGAAAAAAACACCAACATTTTATTCAGAGGCCTAAACTAAGCAAATGATATTTACAGTAAATGCTTTGTTGATTTTGATCAAAGCTTTGCCGTTTTAATTGTAGAACACAAAACATATAATGCAATACAATACAATGCAATGATGATTGAGAGATGTATAAAGGTTCCTCAAAAATATTCTCATTTTAACATGATTTAAAAAAAAAAAAAATGTATGGATAATCAAGTAAACCTGCTTCGGTCCAGTAAATGTTCATCTTGAAATATTACTAACAATATAAAAGATATTGTTGTGTTTACTTTACACAAATCACTAAAGACTGCACAGCAGAAAAACACGTCAACTACAACCTGAAGACGTTTTTAGAATGATACTAAAAGGCCTTTTACTTGCTAAAAAACATAAACTATCAGAAAGCATGTAGTACATTGTGTACAACAGGTTTTTTTAGCAAAGTTTCGTTCGGCCTTAGACATTTGTGTATCAAAGGGGTAAGCCTATAGATGGTCGACATCCAGCTGATTTATTGTATTCTTAAGTGTTTTGAGATCTTTTGGTTTGTGAAAGGCACAGAAGAAACCAAATCTATTCTTATTGCTATTGGAATGGGCAGTGGTCTGTTAGACAGAGAGAGCCAGAGGGAGTGTATATGTGTGTGTGTGTGTGTGTGTGTGTGTGTGTGTGTGAGTGAGGGAGACAGAGTGAATCCATTAGGCCTGTCTGACTGACTGACAGCTGCATGTCCTCAGGTAAACAGAGAGGTAAGAGTGTGCATTAAAGAGTTTTATCCCTGACATCTCCGCTGGCTCTTTTATGCCCGACATTCTTCAAAAGTCTATTTAATTTCAAAGTTTTTTGAACAGCCCTTTATTTCTACCTTTCTCTAGCCATTTCTGTTCAAAAATAGTTCTGAACCTAATTAAAAACTAACCAACCAAAATATAGTTTTTGCTCTCATTATGTGGTATTGACACAGTCATCTGTGAGGGTTTTCAAAGATACAGATGCATGTTAAATACTGTACTCTGACTCTGCTAGATTTTAAAATAGTTTTGGGCACTGTTGGCTTTTTCACCCTGTCTTGAGGTGTATTTGACAAGGAGACATTGGTCAGTCATGTTGGGCTTTTGGTAGTTTGTGTTTGTGAGGGTACAGTTGACCTATGAGTGAGTTCCCGACATACAGACAGGCACCTCAAGGCCATCTTGCTGAACGTCACTGAGTGTGAGCAAGGTGAGAGAAAGGTCTTGAGATTTTAGAGACATGGAAATAAAATAAACATGAATAATTTATTTATTCATTTACTTATAGAGTAGAGTAGCTCCAAAGGCCACATGGAATTTCACCTTTTATTTGTCGACTTGACATTTGGTTAATTCTTTGAAAGCATGTTGTTGAATGTATTATAAAAATAAACCTTTTCACCAAACTGTATTTTGACAATATAATAGAAGATGTTAATTAAAGCAATTTAACATGGATAAAGGATAATTGATTGATACTCACTACCATTCAACAGTTTGGGGTCAGTTTTTTATTAATACTTTGATTCAGCTTAGTAATGTTTCTTGAGCAGAAAATCATCACGTTAGAATGATTTCTGAAGGATCATGTGACACTGAAGAGTGGAGTAATGGCTGTTGAAAATTTAGATTCGCCATTTCAGGAATAAATTACATTTTAAAATGCATTAAAATAGAAAAAAGTTATTTTCAATTGCAATTACTATTTTTACTGCGTTTTTGATCAAATAAATGCAGCCTTGGTGAACATAAGAGAATTACAAATAAATAAAAAATATATTTCAGTACTTCAGTTTGTCAATTTGACATCTGGTCAACTCTCAGAAAGCATGTAGTTGAATGTATTGTGAGAAATAGGCCTTTTCACCAAACTGCATTTTGAAATGATTTAGAAATGATATTATGTTAATAATGAATTTTGATTTTTCATTATTAACATAATATTATTTTCACATATTTGGCAGCAGAGGGCACCCCTTGCTCAGATGAGCCTTTTCACTTCTCAATTGTGTGCATCTATAGGACCTTTAACGTCTTGTGGCTTCAATGTTTCTCAAATGAATGAGCTATAGGCCCATTTGGGGCAGCACTGAGTTGGAGGTCATAAATGGCTCCTGACATGCTTTTACTAGTACTGATAAGATCCATGTTTCACATCAAAGAGTGCTGTAGTCTACTAATATGGAACAGGACTGCTGTTTGTCTCCAAGAGCTCAGATGAGAAGACAGCCCCTTGACTGCTTACTGACTGAATGCATGTTAAAGTAGGCTAGTTTGCCCAGAAATTACAGCAGCACTGCAAAATGAACTTTTCTGGGTTGTCAGGTATTGTCAGTGGCAAATTCTTTAAATATAAAAAACGTACTTAGTCTGTGAGTCAGAACAGCCAGCATTGTAGCCTCTACAAGAGACTACAACTACAACCAATATCTAAATATTCTTAAATAAATAGGCTAGACATTTACTTGAAAAGAAAAATGGCGTGACATAGGCTATAGGAAGTCTTGTTTTCTGACAGGCTATGTAGGCTATTCAAAATGTAGGCTATACAAATTAAGTGAGCTCTTGCCTAAAGCAACTGTTTTTAAGATTTTTACCTTCAAATATTAGTTTCAAAGTCATTCTGATGATACACTGACTTCTAATAATGCTTCTGTTTGTTTCCAACGCTCGAACGAAATTCCACGAAAAAGGAAGATTGTTTTACGACAATGCATGTGGAGCTATCCTCGATAATTACGACAGGACTTTTAAAAGACAGGAAAAAAAATAAAAAATCAGCAAATGAAGTCAGAATAATAAACTTGTTCTAAAAAATAAGACATTTTTTTTCCTTTCCCAATTGGTAGATTTTTATTTTCTTTTTTTCCATTCATGAACTGGCCTAATTTTGATAAATGTCTGAGAAAACAAGATTTAATATCTTATGTCATCTTGCTTGTCAGTTAAAAGCCTCTTGATTTTATAATAGATGTAGCCTACTGTAAACAAGACAAAAATGCTAATTAAGAGAATCACTTTTTGCAGAATAATGATCTTGTAGATATTCAATGAAACAATTTAATTTTCAGTCTGGCTTCATACAACTAGTGTATAGGCACTGAAATGTATGATTAGAGAAACATATTAACTAATCACTAACGTTATCTGATGACATGTCAACCGTTAAGAGGTTTTTATCAAATTTGAACATTGTTTACAAACAAAGAATAATAATAATTTCCTGTTTTGGTGATCACAACTCATTCACTTCCAGCCCTTCGGATGCTGAGCACCGCACCCACTGTCAGCAAATTTCCTATTGTCCCTTCACAATGGTCCTACCCCACCCTCCGTCCCGTTCCGCCTGTATTTTGGAGTGCGACACTGCCTCTCTCTCCTCTCTGAGGCGCAGTTCTGTCTCAGCAGCAGAGGACGAGGCACGCTAAAGGCCTCATCGTCATCTATACTCCATAAGCTCAGCTGTTATTGTTCAGTCTCCAGAGTAATACAAAAGTTTTTTTTTTTAATTGTAAAAATGCTGATTTTTTTTTTTTGTTAGGGTTAGCTTAGGCTACTGTATTTATAACTAGCTTGTAAAAACAACAGAAGTCTATGCAGTGTCTCCAGTTATAGCCTATATCCAAGCAAACGTGTGTGTTGCAAGCGGCTGAGCGGAAACAGTGCTGTTGTCCAAGTCCGTCCCACCTGTTCCTGGGGCGAAGATGCTGCATTTGGACAATAGACAGGTACACTGGGCACACCCAACAGTGCCCGCTGACAGACGGGCAGTGTCCTAATTTAAGAGATTCATTATTCATATGTAACACAAACATCACTGACAGGTACATTTGCACTTCTTGAAGCCACAGTAATGCTTTCCCCCACTTCATTATATTGCGTTATATATTCTGCTCTTTCCTCTTTCCCAGTAAAATGTTTAAGTTGGCATCCTATTTTAACTGCTGGTTATTTTATTTTAGCGTGAAAACTAAAACCTCTCTCTATAAACTTTAACAGTACTGCAGTACTGTAGTACAGGTAGGTTTCTTGAAGCATATTGGAGACGTTGGCACAGTTCTTCTGGAGAGTCTGTCTCAGTTTGTTCTGTTTCTTCATGTCATTCCAGACAGACTGATGATGATCAGATCAGATCTCTGTGTGCAGCACTGGCTGTTGTCAGACTCCTTGTGCAAACAAAAATCTCACTGGATTATTACAATTAATGGCAAAATTAATGTTTGGAAAATAAACTGGTATTTCCTACTGACACACTACAGCAAAGATATAAATAACTGACTTAAAACCATTTTAGCTGGTGAAAATACTAGGGAAAATACCACTGTATATATGGAATAATTTCACACTAAATAAAGGCAAAGCTAAAAGCTACAGCTAAATTTAAGTTTGATAATTTGCAATTTAGGTCTAAATTATGACTTTCAAATATATTCAATGGTATTTTAAGCTTAGAAATTAGAGAACAAATTTCAGAGTATTTGTATCAGTAGTTGTATCGATAATATAGATTCTGGCCTGATAGCACTTCGTAAAAAGATGCAATTAAATATTATTTATAAATACACAGTCATATCATCATTGGCTACGACAATATTCAAAGATGAAAGATGAGCCATAAAGACATACATTTAAGAACATTTATTTTCGCATTCAGTATTGAGTACATCTTAAGTGCAAATAGTTAAGAGTCAATGGCTAAAAGAATGAACAACACTTTTATATTGTATTGTATATTATATTTCAAAAACACACATTTATATTATATTGTTATACTGTATATTATATATTTTTATTTTGTGTTTTGATTAAATTCATATTTTTATTCAGCAGGGATACATTAAATTGATCAAACGTGACAGTAAAGACATTTATAATGCTACAAAAAATACTATTTAAAATAAATGTTTTTCTTTTGAACTTTCCATTTATTAAAGAATCCCAAATAAAAATCACAGTTTTCACAAAAATATGAAACAGTACAACATTCACCACTGACAATAATAAATGTTTCTGAATTACCAAGCATATTAGAATGATTTAGAATTATATTAGAATGATTAGAAGGATCATGTGACACTGAAGACTGGAGTAATGGCTTGCCATCACAGAAATAAATGTAATTTTAAAATAAATTAAAATAGAAAACATTTCTATTAAATTGTAATAATATTTCACAATATTACTGTATTTTTCATTAATATACAGCCTTGGTAAGCACAACATACTTTAAAAAATGTAAGAAATTATTATACTATACTATATTATATTATATTATTTATTATAATATAATATAATATAATATATTATATTATATTATTGTATTGTATTGTATGCTTAAAGGGAGTACTTACTTTCCTACCACAGAGTTGACTTGGGTTCTTATTAGGTCCAGATACTGATCAATCTGTGCCTATAGAGACAGAATGATTTAAAAAGTGAGTCATTGTAGTTATAGTGCTTATGAATTATACATGATTCTGTAGTCATGGTAACAATGGTGCCACTCTGACCTGGTATTTCTCATAGACCACAGGCATCGAGAACATGGACACCACCACTGAAGCAAGATGTAATGCAAATGTTAAAAAATGGGACAAAAGAGCGCATAATCAGTAACTGCAGTAGCCTGCATACATCCATTAATAATTCAAATTACAGGTGCATAATATGGAATAAAAAAAAATCACCCATAATAAGAAGAGTGAGTCCATTGAAGAGGGCTCCCAAATAGGTCAGCAACCACATCAGCACTGCAAACTTGAGTCAAACAAACACAACTAGCAGTTCATACACACAAATACTGTATGCAGGTATCATATGATTTATGATGCTTTTCTGTGCAAGTACTGTGACACACTAAACTAAAAGCTAAACTAAAGGATTGTAGAAGTTCATAAAGTGTTAAACTGCGCAAATATTATACTAATTCTTAATGTACTACTATTATTGTTTATGAAGCTCACAGGTCACCAATTGGCAAACAGTTATGCACTCTTATACTCATGATGCATTTCTTATTGATACAAATTTTGTAACTGACAACCTTAAAATTTACAAAGAACATTCGTGAAATACATAGATACTCTAAAATTCAAAATTTTGAGGTCAGTACGATTTTTTGTTTAAAAAGAAAAATAAATTTATACTTTTATTCAGTAAGGATGCTTTAAATATATCAAAGGTGACTGTAAAGACATTTGCACTGTTATAAAAACGTTCTTTTGAAACTTTATCAAAGAATTTAAAAAAGTATTCCACAAAATAATAAAACTAAGCAGCACAGCTGTTTTCAACATAATAAGAGAAAATTAAAAATGTTACTTCAGCACCAAATCAACATATTAGAGTGATTTCTGAAGGATCAGGTGACACTGAAGACTGGAGTAACGATTCTGATAATTCAGCTTTGCAATCACAGGAATAAATTAAAATGTTAAATCATTTAAAATGTAACATTTAAATAACATTTTAATTAAATAATTTTAAATCAAGTGTTAAGTGTTTTTACTGTATTTTTGATCAAATAAATGCAGACTGGGTGATTGTTTAAAAAAAAATGAATAAAAATCTTAAAAACATTTTAAAAATCTTACCAACCCCAAACTTTTGAACAGTAGTGTACAGCAGGAAAGTAGTGCAAATGCTTTGTCATGCATGCTGTATCTATGTATGAGCAACCTATTCAAATCCACTTAAAGTAATTCCTTTATCATCTCCCATCATTTCTATACTTTCCTATTAAGTATCATTTTAAGGAAAAATTGTCAGCTAACTGAATAACCCCAGTGTAGATTCAATTGAACAGAGGGTCACCTTCAGTGAGTCCACCAGATCCTGCACCAGAAACAGTCTGCGTAGTTCTTTCAGTGTGCTGTTGATATAATACTGGGCGTTTTCTGCGTACTTCTGCATCTGATCATGGGACAGTGACATCTCCACCTCCAGATAAGCTCTGCATCAACAATAAAACAATGTTAGTAACTGATTGAGTGACACACACAGTCTGTGCACACACAGCAGGCTTACTTGAAGGGATGTCCCTCGTCTGTTTTCTGCACAGCCTGCAGCACGGACTTGTAGACTCTGAAGCTGATGGTTGCGGAGAGGGTGGCCAGGGCCAGATAGGCCATCACGCTGACCACACTGAACTGCGTCAGAGAGAAGAGCAGCAGCAGTAAACTGCCAAACACAAGCCCACTCTGCTTCAGGTTCCGCCAGTACAGCAACTCCATCACTGGATGAACAGAGAGAGAGAGAGAGAGAGAGGATCAGGTGGGGTCAAAATCATGCAGATAGGATGTGTGGTAGTGGTTTACAGTAGGCATAAATCTGTTTGTCATTGATTGTTTTAGGATCCACAATTTAGCATCCACTGAATGGCATGACCTATGATGATGTAACAAGTAGTGAATCACTCTGAATCAGCGCTGAGTCAGAGATAACACAATTAGAAATGATTACACAAACAGACAAGAGTGCATTCAAAAATATGCCTGGATTCAGCCGGCAGAATGAGAAAGAAGGCCTATGTCCAAATATGTGTATGTCCCTGCTTCATTATAGGCAACAAGAAGCAGCAGAATGTCTGAATACTCTTTATTTGTGACAGAACAGGCAAAAATATAGTATCTGCTTCAGATTCTGAAGTGTAAACCAGTGAATACTTTGTCATGCCATAAAACCATGGGAGCAGAGGAGATTATAGGGATAGATCACCCTCATGTCATTCTGATATGACTTTCTTTCTTCTGTGGAACATAAAAGAAGATTTTTGTGGTCAATATAATCAATGGTATCGATATAAGTCAATGGTAACCAAAACTGTTTTATGTTCTACAGAGCAAAGTCATACAGGTTTGGAATTACAAAGTTATTCCTTGTGGCTAAGTTGTACTTGTTTATTGTTGATTACCACAAAAATTAATGTTGACTTTTAATATGTGTATATATATATTTAGTATAGTCATTCCCATGAGTACAAATCTTAATGTTAAAGCATATAATGATATTCTAGGGAATTGTGTGCTTCTAATTTTATAGCAACAGTTTGGACAGGAACCTTCTCTATTCTAACATGACAATGCCTCTGTGTATAAGGCAAGGTTCAAAAAGAAAAGATTGATTCAGTCAGTGTGGAAGTGTGGAACTTGACTGGTCTTAATCCCTGCTGAACACCTCTGGTGTGACTTTAAATGCAGACCTTGAGCCAAAAACTCATCACCAAACACTATATATATATATTATATATAGCAACTATGTTGGCACTACAATATAATTCCCGAAACTCAAAAATTATGAGAACAACTTTACAATTTAATCCAGATTTACTAAACATGGCAAATTAGTGTGAGACTGAAATCCCATAAAAGTGTAAATGGGAGTGTAAACTTCTGCATTGCCACTATGACCAACACAACAATCTACCAAGAGCAGTGCAAATTAGCATAGGATTGCAAACAAGCAGAGCTGATCGTAATCAGGTGTGTGCAATCTACTAACAACACAGGTGCAAAGTGGGTTAAGAAGACATCTTTTTTGGGGTGTTACATAATGGCACAAATACCAGTAAACGGACTACCGTAAACCTTAGTAGATCACCTTTAAATACTCTCCTCCCAGACATTTTGTATCTGAAAGGGACACTCCAACAAATGCATAGCCTATGCAATAAGGTTGGCCACAAAAATAACTGTCCACGTCTTTTCATCTAATTTTTCTCTGCATGTCTTTAGTAAATCCTGACAACAGTTTTTTAAGGCCAAAAGAGGGTTTGCTGATACAAGCTGATATTAGATCTGGTCCTAAGATTCACATTTCTGGCCCTATTTTAGGTAACCTGTATTTTTGCCTTTTGGGGGGAAAAAAGGAAGTAATTTCTTTCAGTATTATGCTACAATATTGTTGATTCAACATAACTTCTTTCCCTTTAATTTTTTTTTATTTAACAATAATTGTATTTCAAACCACGTATTTTAAATTCACTCTGAAAGCAGTCATAGTAGTAGGAGTCATAAGTAGAAAATCGTAGGTTTTTCATCATCTACTGTCAGAGCGATGCCTGTCTTTCCATGTCTGTCTCTGTGTCCTTTCTGCACAAATTCTCGGAAACATTCAATTCTGGCCAAATGACAGCATGGTGGCCATGGCGACAGACTGGAACCAGGTGCACAGATCTGGCAGTGCATGGTGCCTCTTTTCAAATGTTATATAATGTGATGTCCATCTTTAATCTGCCAGACCAAATGTGACAGTAATGCTATAATTGTGTCTGAATCCTAATGTCTGAATGGTACTGAATGGTTTTAATGCAGACCAATAAGCTGGTATAATTTCAGTCTTACAACAAACAGGACTAAAGACAAAGTACACCCTAAAAAATGAAGATTCTGTCATCGTTTACTAACCCTCATGTATGATATGACTTTTTTTCTTCAGTAGAGCATAAAAGAAGATAATTTGAGAAATGTCTGTTTTTTTGTTCTTTTGGTAACCTAAATGGTTTGTTACAAACATTCTTCAAAACATTTCCTTTTGTGTTCTGCAGAAGTTTGGAAGAACATGATGGTTTCATTTTTTGGGTGAACTTTGAACTTTGAAGAATGCATAAGGTCATAAGGACAGCGCATAAGTGTGCTTTTTTTTTTAATAGGTCTTAAAATAGTTTAATCTAGACCCAATAGGCTAGATTTGAATTTTGCTGTACTTGTAAACACTTTTACCTTCATTCTAGCAGCTTATTCAGTGTTTTTAAAGTTAAAAATCTGAAAAGCCTTACAAAGTCAAACTAAAACTTTTCTTGCATTGTCACATTTTTTTTCTGAGCATAATTAGTGTCTTGTCGTACATGTACTTAAGAGTATGTGATTTAATTGATCTGCAATATTTAACTGACATGCCAAAAGATCCAGTAGGATTCTATCATAAATAAATGTGGTAACACTTTAGTATAGGGACCAATTCTCACTAGTAACTATTTGCTTATTACCAAGCATATAATAACCTATTGGCTGTTTATTAGTACTTATAAAGCACCTATTCTGCATGACCATATTCTACGTCCTTAATCCTACCCAATACCTAAACTTAACTTAAGCTTAAACTACCTACTAACTATTAATAAGCAGCAAATTAGTAGTTTAATGAGCCAAAAGTCATAGTTTATGATTTGTTAATAGCGAGAATTGGACCTTAAAATAAAGTGTGTGACCATTAATATATTTAATATCATACCAAATTTTTATTTTCATGTAAATTTATCATAAGGATTTTTAGGTATTTTACTGAGAAAAGGATCGAAAATAAGCATAAAACAAAATAAGCATAATGTGGAGTTAAGGATGTTGAGATATTCTTTCTGTAAAAAGACAAAAATGCTGATTAAGAAAATTATTATTATTTTGTAATGTCATAAAATAAAATTAAACTAAATAAGCAAATGTAGATGTTTATGCTTAAAACAAATCTTAATATCTGACCCAAGAAAATGTATCTTAAGGATCTTTAGGTATTTTACTGACAATAAATACATACATAAATTAATACATATACTGATGTTACCATGTATTAAAAACCTGAAAGCCTTAAAATCTCAAACAAAAATGTCCTAGCATTGCCAGGATTACTGTATTGTTGTACACATTCTCACAGCTATATACATTATGTGATTTAATTGATTTGCAATAACTGACATGCCAACAGACAGCTGGAACCAAGGATTCTGTTGTAGTTTCACCACACCCATTCCAGACCTCTTCCCTCTGCTCTTTATTTTCCACCCAATTTAAGATGATGCAACATAGTGACTGAACTCAAGAGATTAAAAATTAAGCAGCTTATCTAGCTCATAATTATAACCTGAGAGCAGCATGTCCCTGTAATCACAGGTATGTATCTAAGCGGAGCTTCATGGTCTGGACAGAGTCCTGTCATACTCATTGCCTGAAAACTAGAGCATTATTTTGGGCTGTGCTAAGTTAGAGCTTTTCCTATGGATCCCAACAACACCTCGGTGGGATTCTTTGTTTGTGTTAGGTGTGGCGGACGCTCCTTTATGCAATATGCAAAGCTTCATGCATCATAATTCTACAGCTCATTATAGCCAACGATCAATATTCAGTCCTTTTCTAAGCATCAGAGTGGGTTAACAAACGTATCTCTATTTATTTTCAGGTGGAAATCGACACACAATAGGACACATGCTCATTGCGCCCACTCTTTCCCAGCATGCACTGACACATGCTTGTTTATGGGGTCATTACGGTGAGCTTTGTATAAAATGTGTCGGCGTGAAGTTGGCAGTTGAACTCTGAGATGAAGGGAGCACGGTCGCCACGGAAACTGAAGAGATGGGTGCAGTGGAGTGAGCAGTGATGCAGTTGCCATAGCGATGGAGCTTGCCCCCCCACCGAGCGCTGCCTGCCAGACGGAGTAATAAGTTGCTGATGAAATGATGGGGGAGGGGAACAGGAGGTAACACTGCTATGACAGACACACAAGCAAAGACCCTCTTGCTAAAACACTCCACTGCTGACTACAACATGCTCCGCGTTCATACAGGACCGTTGCTTTTTATCAAGCTAAAGGACAACCGCTAACAACCGTCCGGTCCTTGGGGGCAAGAATGGCAAAAATAGCTAGCGCTGTGTGACTGCACTGCAAATCATTTCCTTGATCATTTTTTGTCTTGTTTTCCAGTATATACTTGAGAAGTAAAATTGTGTAAGATGTTAAGACTTGTTTTTAGAGAATATATCGTGAATTCTGTTTATTTTGCATACTGTGTTGGCAAATTGGCATTTTTTCTTAAATTTAATCAGTGTTGTGCTTAAAAAAAACTCTTAATATCTTACTCAGTTTTGCTTCTTAAGTAAATTTATCTTATTTCAAGGATGCTTATTTTTACTGGAAAAAAGACAAAATACTGATTATTATTATTATTTATTTTTTTTGCAGTGTAGTAGATCAATTAAATAAATGAATTTAATATCTTACCCAATTTTGCTTTTCAAGTAAATTTATCTTAAATTTAAAGTTTAAGTTTTTTAAGTATTAAGGTAATTAATTAAATAATTTAATAATAATAATACTTAATTAATCATTAATACTTAATTATTAAGTATGTTAAGATATTTTCAATCTTAAATCTGTATTTTCAAGATGGGAAAAAGCTTGAAAATACAGACATTATCAAATAAAACATATACATTCATGTTGTTTTAAGGATGTTTAGATATT